TACTCTTCAAGTAAAAATGCAAGAGAAATTCATCCAGTTCAAGGATTTTCTTTATAGTAAAAAAAAATTACATTTAATCTCTTCCCATAATAGGGATTCGTCTTCCTGGGCAAAATGGGTCAAGATCTTTCTTGTCACTCATCTCAGTTTACTCATTCCTTGGCAGGCCTGTCTTCTATTGGGTCCATCTTCAGGCTTAACCATCTACATAAGGGCTGCGGCACAGGTGTCGTGCATAGGGGTGACAGATGTACAAGAGTCTCAGCTGAATTCCTACCATGTCCAGTCAAAAATCTCAAAAGATCTCAGGTCCGTCTCCTGTGCTCCGAAACCAAAACCGTTCAGTTCAAAACCTTCGCTTTTATCATTAATCGTGAAACCAAATTCTGAACAGAAAAAGGGGCACGTGTTCAAGAATGGGTCCCAAAGTAAAGGGGACAGAAAACCTTCTTCAGTCCACAATCCTTTTCTCTGAGAGGACGAGCGCATTCCTACTGCAAGCAAACAACTATGCCCTTTCAAAGTCAGTCTTTGAGTGTGGCCTCCATAAAGACATACAACAGGGATTCAGAGCTCGCCTGTAGCACACAGACACACAGGCTTTCAAAAAACTGCACTGTGCTAGTCTAAAATGTTCTGTACTTCCAGAGAGAATACATAATGACCTATCATTGGTAAAACCCCAAGACAACTCAAGGGTGGGCAGATGCTCTAGAATAAACAAACAAACAAACAAACACATTAATAATTCTGGTTAAATAGTTATTCTGGGTAAAAATATTGTGTGGAACATGAGGAGCCAGTACGTGGCTGCAGCAATCCATAGCTGATGTTTATATAAACCTAGTGGGGTCCACGGCCACTAGGGATCCTGGGGGGTAGGGTGGGGTGGTGGAATGTGAGTATTTTAGGTGTGGATTTGATTGCTGAATAATTCTTTTTGCAATTGCATTGTAAGGTTCTTCTCTGTGATTTGGAGTATCTTTCTTATCTGGGGAGTTATAGCTGGTGGAATAAATTAATATGAGAGGCAAATGGGGTAAGACAACTGGTTTGCCTTTTAGTGAGCAAACATGTTAATTCAAATTAATGAATAACAACAATACCCCTAATTTCACTGCTGGATTCAATTAACTGAGCTTATTAACTCTATCATCCTATGACTGAATCAATGTAGTAAACTGGTTAGGTGCCAAACTGGGCCTTGCACAATCAAGGTTCTAGTCCCTATGGAGCTATGAAATTCACTGACTGATCATGGATCAGTCACTCTCTCAGAGTTTGATTTACCTCCTTGGGTTATTGTTAGGACAACGTGGGAAAAGAAAGAATCATGTACACCACTTGGAGCAGACTCAAAAAGAAAAAAGACAGGCATAATTGAAACTCGTTATCTAATTAACTGACAAAAGAACACATTAACAAACAACAGACAAGCTCTGATATCCTAAAGCAGAAGAACTTCGCAAAAGTATTGCTAGGGGAAAGGAATCTGAACTATGATATCCAAGATTTTGCAGCCAGCAAAACCACTGCGCCAGACTGGCTGTGTCTTTCTTTCTTTGTATCAGAGTGTTGCACAATTTAAAATAATGGATGTATATGAAATATAGGTAAAATTAAAAACAATGGGAAAAGAAAGAATCATGTACACCACTTGGAGCAGACTCAAAAAGAAAAAAGACAGGCATAATTGAAACTCGTTATCTAATTAACTGACAAAAGAACACATTAACAAATAACAGACAAGCTCTGATATCCTAAAGCAGCAGAACTTCGCAAAAGTATTGCTAGAGGAAAGGAATCTGAACTATGATATCCAAGATTTTGCAGCCAGCAAAACCACTATGGCAGACTGGCTGTCTTTCTTTGTATCAGAGTGTTGCACAATTTAAAATAATGGATGTATATGAAATATAGGTAAAATTAAAAACAAATTGTTAAGATTATTAGAGAAACCTTTGATCAGAAGTGGGCTACTAAAATAGTGTTATCTATTTGCTTGATGTTCTTTTGTACACGACGTTCTTTTGTACAAAGTCACAGAAAATCTGTCCTGTAGACAAATAGCCCCATTTTACTTGATTATTCTTTGATCTTCCTACTTTACTTCAGAGTCTATTAAGTGGTTTCCAGACAGTCCAGCTGAGACTCTTGTCTTGATGGGACTGGCTCTGTTACTCTGGAAGCTGTAGCTTAGTACTGTAAAGCAATTTTTCCAAGCACGGTACAAAGCATTGATAAAGCCGTGATTCCCAACATTGAGTTCTCAGATGTTCCTGGACACCTTCACCATTAGATGTGCTTCCCACAATTTCTGGGAGTCCTAGTCCAAGAACATCTATCTGGGGATTCAAGGTTGGGAACTACTGGTATAAGGGAATGTTACTTGTGTAACAGACTGGGTGCCTTTGGGCAGAAAACCAATTGCACCCTACTGTGAGCACTGGTCAATTGCCCCACCCATCCCAACCCCTTCCCTTTCTGATAGTACAACTGCTGGAAAGAAAGTAATGAGTTAAGCCAGTGGAGTAGCTGGTTGGCGACAGAGAAGAGCGAGAAAAGGAATAGTCTGTTCAGCCAAGTGTTTCAGTTCCCCATGTCCTCCCTGCCCCCTTCCAAAACAGCACCAACGCAAGAGACAGCTGCAGCTTATAAGGAATGTGAGGGGCCCAGCCAGGGACTCCGGGGAGGGAAACCAGGCCTTATATGGCCACGGAGGCAGAATCAAATTTTTATCAATGAGCCCGAGCGCAGAGAGACGCCCAAAGAGATAACAGAAAAGCAGAGCTGCTCTGCGAGGGCACAAAAGGAAGGATAACAGCACCTGTCATTCCCAATCCGGCACAGCGCAGGAGCCTACCATGCTACTGCTGCTACCGGCAAATCAAGGCAGGACGCAGCCCTGTTTTCACTTTGGCAGATGCCCAGCACAGCTGACATGGCACTACTCGAAAGTCACAGGGTAAGGGGGTGATGGGGTGGGGTGGGGACCAACCTGCCATTAATGTTTAGAGTTTGGGGAAAAAATCTAACGTTTTAAAGACGATGGCTCCCAGGAACACCCCTGCTAGCTCGGCCCATGGTCTGCTAGCTAAGAGATTCTGGGAATTTGTAGTCTTTAAAAAGTAAACTTTTCTTAGCTCTGATGACGAAGACTCAACCTGCAGTTTTTCCCTCTGACGAAATGTTCACCCACCAATACTGGATTTAAATATATATCATATTCCTACCAAATTCTTTCAAACACCGAGCAATGCCCAACATTCTCTGCTAGCATCCAAGAGAACTCTCTTGTTAAATCTAATAAAGCAATGATTAGATCTAATTCAATCAGTTCCCTCCAGGAACTCCCAAAGCAAGGCATCAAAGGCCTCTCTTCCCAAGAGACGTTTTTCCAGTTCTGGCACTTAGTGCTAAAGTGAGGTTCCACCTACCAACTATGGCTAAAGGTTTCTAAGAAATCTAACCTTTATCTTCTCTTTTCAAAATCACCTTAGCAAGTGGCCAACTCTGTTTCTTGTGACAGTGAACTCTAATAAGCTAGTTATGGATGACAACTATATATAGCTAATAACTATAATTAGACATAGAATGGGAGGGAGGATTTCTTTTTACTGTCCTGAACCTTCTTCAAAACAATTCGTACTTAAATTCTAAAGACTATATAGTGCGAGAAGGTGGAATAGTAGTAGTCATTTATAGACTTTCTCTGCCATGAATCCATTCAATCCCCTATCTCAGCTAAAGCTTATCACTACATCTTATCACAGGAAATTCCAAAGTGTGGCCCAATACTTCCTGTTATCTGTCCTGAATTTCTAGCCATTCAGTTCCACTGGATGACCATAGTTTCTAGTATTATGAAAGGATAAAAGCTTCTCCTTATCTACTTTCTTCACACCATGCACATGTTTATTTATGTCTCTATCCTCATAAAACACACCCTTTTATTTATCTTAGTCCAAATCATGTCGCATTTTATTGTGTGTGAGGTGCAATTGCATACACTGCTTTTGTGGGATTCTTGTTTGTTGCCCACCTGGGCATGTCATTAGTTGCATAGCCTGTCCACAGCCAGGTGTGCGATGGAGAACCAAAAGATAATCATCACCACCTATGGTACATGGCTGCTTTCTAAAACTGTGCAATACAGCAGGATTTTGCCCACCACTTTTTTAAACTAAAGCATCCCAGATGTTGTAACTTTCAACTGTAAGGTAGATGCTCCAGTTCTCTGAAAATTGTAATCACTCTTTTCTGCTCCTTCCTCTGCCTTACAAAGATGTGGCCATCATGTGAAGCTACTTTTTAAACCTGACACATCACTGGGCTCATGTGCCACACCTCCCCCAACTCAGAGCCTGTACCTTCTGTTTACAAAGCTATACTGTTTGTCCCACCATCTCCAAGCTTATGTTCTACTCTAATAGGCATAACGTGCCCACATTACCAAAGAAGGACATCTCCATGTGTCCAAGTATCCTGTTTATCATTTATGATAAGAATGGGATCTTCACATGTGACTGGAGTGAAGCCCCCCATCATCCTTCCCTATTGGGTATTCAGGTTACAGCTAATGGAAGCTGCAGTTTCTCATTAGGACTGATATAAGCAAGGGTCATACTTTGCGTACTAATGATTTAGGGCAAGTTGCAAGTATGTTGACAATTTTTGGTAGAATGTTTGGGAGTAAATTAAAAAAAATTAAAAAAAACGAACTTTTTGGGTGCAAAGACAAACAAAAAGAAAAGAAAATTTCCACTGTCAGTTAATAATTTCATTAGTCTATTTACACAAAGAAATGAGAACTGTTCCTATTAGTGGTACATGTGTCACTGGCTGAGAACCACAGTAATAAGCAGCACACACTACTTAATCTACTCTCAATTAGAAGGAAAGGGTGCATGCACTAACCTTTTTCTCTTAGCAGGAGATTTACAACATGTAATTCCAACATGACTGCTCAAGGTAGAAGTCAAGGACAAGGGTGGTTTTACCTTTGTTTCCCCACTGCTGTCAGACTCAGAAACCTGGTAAGTGAGATCTGTCTCCTCGAAGCCTGTTGCACTCATGCGCTGATCAGTGGTCGGGTCCGACCGAGGAGGGGAATCAGGAGAGTTCAAGCATGTCTGAATCAGCGCTTTTCCCGTCTCACTGGTGATCATGGGTTGCAGCTTCCGTGTGGCGAAGGTGTAGACGTGGCCTGTTTCACTGGCCACCAACAACAACACCTGTGTACCCGTTAGGGTGGAAAGTTCATAGGCCTGGGCAGCAATAAAGAAACAGAGGGGAAGCAAAAGTTAAGGACAAGCTTTTAAAAGATCCTGTTGCCAAGAAGGACAAATGGATCAATACTGCAACAGGACATTAGGTATGGTTTTCATGCAAGATCCAAATGGTGGCATTCCACACCATCTTTTAAACTTCATTCTGAGTGTAGCTCCTAAAAAGCCTAAAATATGGAATAAATAAGAATCCAGTGACAACATTCTAGTGGAAATGTAATTCTGGACCAGAACAGCAGGACCAATGGCCATGAGGCCAGGGGAGAGAGAGAGAGAGAGATCCTGCAGGCTGCAGACCTAAAGAAAATGTTTCTGACATAGGAGGTTTAGAGTTTGAACTGCTTTTGCTATGTCTCGCACCATGACCACCATTACTATGATCAATAAGACTATATCACTACTTTATTTGTGGGCTCTCAGCTTTCCGCTCAGCCGCAAATTATTTTTTTGGCCCTATGTAAGTAATGAGTTGCCTGGATAGTTCAGTGGGTTAGCTATCTAGCTCTGGAGCCAAACGTTGGCAGTTCGATTCCCCACTGTGCCTCCTATAAAGAGAGCAATTCTGTCTGGCCTTGGGCAAGCTGCAACCTCCCAGGATGTCCCCAGAAGAAGGGAAGGGTAAGCCACTTCTGAGTATTCTCTGCTGGAAAACCCTGAAAAGGGGTCGCCATCAGTCAGAAATGACTTGGCAGCATGTAATTATGATTATCAAGTAAGTAAGGGGTACCCAGTGTGGTGTAGTGGATGGAGTGATGCACAAGGGCTCTGGAGGCCAGGGTTTGAATCCCTGCTTGGTCAAACTCACTGAGGGAGTAGAACTTATAAAACCACTCCTTAGATATTGCACTTACCTTGAAAGCCCTATTAGAATCACTATAAATCAGTTCCAACTTGACGGGATGTAACTAACTACTAAGTAATCACAAGTTAACAATCTGTTATGCATCAATGCCCATGGCTGCGTATTTTCAACAACCACATGGTGCAATCTCAGAATTTCAGTCTGCACATTCCAGTTTTCATTTTTGCTGTTTTAAATACCCACCAGACTATTCACACTCAGGACTGTGAAGCTACCCTTTTTTAAAAAAATCAAGAAGTACACAGCTTCTACATACAGCACTCCTCAGATCTACTGGATTACAATTCCCATCATCCTCAATCAGCCTGGTCGCTTACATTTTTCTTTAAAAACGGAGTCTCAACTGCAAATCCTTCGGGAGAAAACTCTCCGCGGCAGGAACCACCATCGAAAAGACTCTGCTCCTAGATCCACTCAATCTAACTTACCTTAAAGACAGAGCACTGAGTAGAACAGTCTTCCTCAACCTGCTGTTCCCCAGCTGTTCTGGACTACAGCACCCATTATTAAAGGGGGGGAGTTGTAATCCAATGCCTCTGGAAGGCACAAGGTTAGAAAAAGGTGGAGCAGGGCATCCAACATAGTTTTTAAAGCTTCTTTGTAAACAGCCAATGCCCAGAAAATCTTTCTTAGCCAACTGCAAACAACAGAAGCTACCCAATATTCTCTTCCGACTGACAGCTGCCTTTAAGTATTTATTCTACATTCCTGCTTTTTCCCAAAAAAATTTTTAAAATTTAAAAATGGAATTTTCCAGGCTGTCATAGTACTTGTACCACGGAGTTGACAGGTTTATCTAGGCAAGATAAAACATGGCCTCTACTACCACATAGAGAAAAATACCAGAGAGTCATATAAAGTCTCTTTCTTCTCCATATCACACTTTGCATGTCCAGCCTCTCCCAACCCCATGGCTTCCCTCATGTTTTCAGACTATAACTCCCAATATCCCCAGCCACGATGACCTTACTGGGCAAAGAATATGGGAACTATAGTTCAACGGCGCTAGAGGTGCCACAGCTTGAGAGGGACTGCTCTACATTACAGAACATTTTACTCCCTTCTCCTGTTTCCATCACAATCTGTTCTTATAGGAGTGAAGCATTCTGGGAAACAGGAAGAGACATGCAGACGACAGCATCATATTCACCCGGCAACAGGGCGGAGGGAAGTGGAAGCTTAAAAATAGAGAGCCACAGTTGCCTCAAAGACAGAGTGATGACTGAGCAATCCAGTAATAAGGTTACTAAGGAGTAAATGACCTGGGACATTGGAGAAGAGAAGAGGAGCAGCCCTAAGATAAAAAAGTACAGCGTCTCTATGAGCTGGGAAGAGTAGCCTTCATGTCTCAAAGTTCTTAGCTTTGCCAAGGAAAGTATACATAAATCAATTCATTCACATGCAACATGCCACAATTCTTTTCAGCCATCTGTCAAATGCTTTGCTCTAATCTATCACACTCCTTCAGCCACCCACCCTCATTGTTTTTGGCTCCACTGACATAAGATTCAAGCTGCCAATGTCTTCAAGACTCCGCCTGCTTCTCAGGGCTTCGAAAAATTACTTTTTTGAACAATGACTCCCCAAATCTCCCAGCCAGCATGTGCTCCTTCCCCTTCAGAAATTGCTTTTTATGAAGCCAGAGAGCAAGTATGATGGCTGTTTTTGTGCCTCATCAACTACTACTTCAGAATATAATGCAGTCTGTTTTACAAACCGCAACATAAGGGACTAGGAATTAATATCCCACATGGCAAATGCTAGAGATGTAAGAATGTAGGAAGCTGGAATATAAGACAGTCACACTACTTTCCATACAAAACAGGGCTGTCTATGCTAGCTGAAATAGGTAATCGAAAGCCTCAGGGAGAAGGTCTTTAATATCACCTCCACCATAGATTCTACAATAAAGACAAACTGAGAATTCTGGCCTGAAAAGATGGGAGGACTGAGGACATGGCAGAAGTCTTCAGCTCCCACCAGGTCCACAAAGCACAGCTAATGATGAAGGATCATGAGAGCTGCAGACCAACAGCACCAGGAGATGCCACTGGCTCCCCACCATGTGAACCAAGTATTGTGTTATTGATTGAATGCTATCAAAATAATAAAACTGTTGTCAACCTTAAAAAGCACTGCAAACATTCTGAACCAACTCAGGCTGTCGTGCATTGAATACTCTCAACCGTAAATGACAAGGGTGTTGGTTTTTGTTTTTTTTAAATTGCCTTTAATTTTTGCTGAAAATACAAATTGGGAAAAGATAAAACAAAAGGTGAACTAATATCCCTTCAGAAATACCAGATCATACTTGATGGAAAACCAATCTTTCATGATTTAGTTTAATGCTTTTTTTTTTTTTGGTAAGTCATCTAACTGTAGACTTGGAAAGTACCTCAAAGCTCATTTAGTTGAACTGCCTTCCAGTACAGACAGCCCACCAATAAATACCTTGAAAGCTAGTCCTCAGGTCTATGCCTAAAACCTCCAACAAAGCAGAGTCGTACCTTCTAAAGCAGTCTGCTCCACTGACAAATAATCTGTATTTCAGATGCTCTCCCTAAAGCCAAGTCACTAACACTGTTTCTTGCAATTCAAACCTGCTAACCCAAATGGCAATTTTGCTTCACTCTTTGTGTGGCCATCCTTCAAACATCTGAAGATGGTTCTCTCTTCTCAAGGCTAAATATGCCCAACTTTTCCAACATTTGCTCCAGGACCATCAACATCTTTGTTGCCTCCTCTAGAAATATTCTGATTTGTTTGGCTGTGGGATGTATGGCCTTCCAGATGTTGCTAACATCTGGATGACCCTCATCATGCCTTGGATGGCTGGGGCTGACGAAAACTGGAATCCAAAAATATTTGGAGGGCCAAGAGTCCTTGTCTTTAAGGACATTGCCATAAAGTAGCCACAACATTCAGAGCTTTGCTTTCTGGCTGAGCCCATCCTTTTTCAGCCTGGCAGCTACAGAAAGCACAATGTTGCTGCTCATACCAGACCATTAAGTATACACCCACCTTTCACAATCTCATAGGGTCTTCCCTCCTCACTGGTCCATCTTACTTTCCTTCTGTTTTCACCAGAGCTTGGAAAACCAAATGTAAACCTTAAGTTACATGGTGGTGATGAATTCATTAATATTTAATATGTTAGTGCAATTTGTAATATTAACCTGTTGCATTGATTGTTAATGACCTGAAAGAGGCAGATCTCTGAACTACAGCCAAACCTGAGTTCTCAGAAATAGGTTTTCATCTCACTATGCCTTGCTAGGTGTAATCTGATGCACACACACCTAGCAGTAACTGACTCTGCCTGAAATCTCCATCTAAGGACTAATTTAATGGTAGTTTTTATAGCTACAACAACATCTGGCCAACTGTTTAGACTTCTGAGCTTCTTTTCCCCATCCCCCTAATTTTTTATATATATCACTAGCCAATAGCAAGTATTGGAGAACTTGTAAAGCAGCACATTTTAAAATACAAGCTCAACTAAATTGATTGAAGCAAACAGACAAATAATAAAGTTATCTGAATGGTCATGACAGCCTGTCTGTGAATTTTGGTTTTGTAATTTTCAGGTAGCTGTTAGACTATGTGAGCAGCAGCATTACTTTTATTAGTGACAGACTTTCCAGGAGTAGTTTTAAAATGAGATGGTTGCATTTTGTTGCTTCTAAATCTGTTTAGTAATGCTTTGGATAGCATTTTTATGATGTTATTAACTCATTTAATATTTGAATATTTCACTGTTTTTAGCTTTAATATTTTCTTTTAATGATGTAAGCTGCCTTGGTTCTTTTCTTAGAGGAGAAAGGTGAAGTAAAAATATTTTAAGTAGAGGAGAAAGGTGAAGTAAAATATTTTAAATAAATACAATTAAATAAATGTATTAGAAACACATAGGCAGGAGTACGGTTGATCTTCACATAAGGTCTATGTAACTTGCTCACATAGTGTAACAGTAACTGACAAAGTGAATAAGATTGTGAATACACAATCAAACAAGAGGTAAGATACACAAACTAGACCTGCCCTGGTACATGATCAGTTAGCTGCAGGATGTTACACAGACCTTGTGCAAACACCAACAGAATTCTGATCATTAGTT